TAATAATAATAATAATAATAATAATAATAATAATAATAATAATAATATAATATTGGAAAATTTAAGGTTCATTGTGACCTTATAACACCTGACAGTGTTGCTTATAAAACAAAATCGGTATCGCCCAAACTCGGAATCGGCAGGTCAGACTTTTTAGAAATCGGTGTCGGTGATGGGCCAGAAAACTACAATCGGTGCACCTCTAGCCTGAATGGTTTACAATTTAAAGGGAAAAAGTACAAAAAAATAACTGCAAACAGCTCTCATTAAGTTATGTCCCAAACCTCAATCGTGAAATCATTACTACTTAGTTTTTTCTACTTTATGAGCCCAAACAGCGCACACATAAATTTAAGTTGTGCAACACATTAGTTGTAGAAATGTTGTTTAACAATGAAATTTATCAAGTGTTAAAAGCAGTTTTTTCCTTGTTTTTGGAATAGCTGACATTGTGGTGACAGAAAGAAAGGGAGACGCTCAAACAGGAAGGGTGAAGGGAGAGAGGAAGTACGTTTGCGAAGAAAAAAAAAGTTGAAGGAAGGATAATACTGGATTTTGACACACGACGTGAACATACAGTGAAACAACGCAGGAGAGTCACAGAGCTGGTATTGTTTTTCTAGCCACAGGCAATGCCAGACGTCTGTCAGTGTGGTCCAGTACTTTGCTTCTGCAGTCATTCTGCATCAATCAGGCCTCCCAGATAAGCCCCGACAAGGAAAAGGAGCTGTTTTTTCTATCACGGCAACAATTAGGCTTATCCCTGATTCGCCCAATTGGACCTAAACTACTGTGCTTTACTGCTGTCAATTGACTGAAGCAAACGCTGAAAACTCAGTGCCAATACATCCTGTTTTATGTGACTCCCACTGTCAAATGTACACTGTAGTCCAGTGAATGCTGCCTGTGTCAAGAGTAAAAACATTTACCTCCACTGTTATCCCTCATCTACATAATTTCTCTGTTTATACAAAACAGGTTTACTTAAAATGAATAGCAATAGAGGATCGAGGGGTGTTTTTTTTTTTTTTTTTGAAGCAAGGGGCTCATCAAGCTTTAAACAAGAGTATCAATCATCAAAAATCCCAGAAAAACTTATTATGAAGCCCCAAAAAAAGTACTAAAATTACTTTCTGTAATTTCCATCATTTGTCTATACGTTTTTAACATTTTTTTTGGAATACGAGCGAAGTTTAGGTTTCCAAACAAATTAAAGGCACACAAGGTCATACAGCGGAGACGTGGTAAGTAACACCAGTCGAGCTGTTATGTAACGGGACCACTTTCAGGTTGGGAGCTCAGCGTGTGCTAGTTTAAACACACAGAGTGTAGTCCAGCGATCATTTGTGTAGTCAAATCTAATCCCTAGGAGTTTTAAATTGGACCACAGACAACATCATGGGTGCAGGGAAATGTTTGTTTACGTGCCATGACCTTTTTGCAGTAGGGAGTTGACCCTTTGGACCTCTCTTACGTCTCCTGTGACTGCTCACTTCCCTCACCTACCACAGCAGTGGTAATAAAGACGTCTGCCTTTGCTGGGTTCAGCAGTAGAGCTTTCCAACAATAATACACTGTTTGTTCGAGGCTGGGGCCAAGAAAAAATATTTATGCTCTCCCAAATTGAAGGTATTATAAATATTCTTTTTACAGAATCAGTGATATCAAATAATCAGCAATAACATCATAACTGAGTTTAAACAATAAAAGGGACATGCAGAGAGTGCTTAGTGGAGGAGTTCAGATATTGTACAAAGAATCACTAACAAATATTACCATCATGGCTGGAGTTTTTAACACTAATGTGGCTCCAGAAATGTTCCACAATACACATCCAATGTAACGTCCCGCAAAACAAAAACTTAATTTAATTTCAAATGTTCGTGCACATCAGTAGTCAGAGAGTCAGGTCTCTCTTGTAAATGAGTCCCCGAGGCTCAATGGGATTAACCTGTCTAAATAAAGGTTGAATGAATAAGTCCTTCTGAGTAAAATGCCCAAAGGCTGCGAATATAATTTATCTTGTGCTACTTGGTCAGCTGCACTGCATCATAAGCTGTTGACAGGTCTTAAACAGCATGGGCTGCGGCCATGCTGCCTCCTTTTGGACTTTTCAATAATGCCAACAAAGAGCAGCAGTTACATCAGCGTAAATGTTACCCAACACAGGAAACCATTATTGTGTCAGAGGGAAACCCAGCTTGTTTCCATAAAGCAGTTGGAAACACCTTCAGGACTTTTTGGAGGGAGGAGGGAGGTGTTAGTGGTCCAGCTGCTTTGATGGGTTGGGAGTTTGGCTCACCTACACATCTTTCATTGATGGGCCTAAATCCGGGGCCACAAGCCTGGCACTGGAAGGAGCCAACAGTGTTGACGCAGATACTGTTGGGACACGAGCTGGAATCTCGGCACTCATCTATATCTGTTTGAGGAGAAAGTGGAAAATGAAGACATTGTTTGAATTAGTTGTCGCAACAACAAGGTTACTCAAACATTGTGCATCTCTGTCAAACAAAGAGGCAGTTTGAATAGAAATGCTGGTAAATAGACACACAACCCTTTGTCATGGAATGAATGAACAGATGACGCTACAGCTGTGTCTTTGAGTGAACTTGAATCAGAGGGCATACGTTTGTGCTGATGCATGCAATTCACCTTCGCAGAGGCCTCTCCAAGACTTGGAGTAGCCACTGTTGCATTCACAGGTGTAAGATCCTTCCGTGTTGACGCATTTGCCATTTTGGCACTTGTTGGGCATGCTGCACTCATTAATGTCTGCCAGTTGAACAAAAACCAAGACAAAGTTCAAAGAGAGTTTTGTTCCATAGCAATAATTATGCTTTTAAAATGAGCAGTGCTGATGGACAAGAACTTGCAGTGCTCTAACAAAGAGGTGTTAAGAGCAGGCTGAGTTTGCACAGGAAACATTACATCTCCTACTGCAAACTGGACAGTGTCTTACCTTGACAGAACTTCTTGTTTTGAGTGATCACCTGGCTATAGCCATTATGGCACTGACAGGTGTAGGAGCCATAGCTGTTTATGCAGCGGCCCTTCCCTTTGCATGGGTCCAGTTCACACTCATTCACATCTGCAAGTGAAGAGGTAAAGTAGACAGCTGTAGCATTTTGACCAAACACATACACAGCTCTGATCTGTCTGTCAGTTTGTCCAATTAACAAAGACAATAAACTGATACATTTACAATATAAATATAAACCCCTAAAACAAATATAACAGTCCAGTCAGGGTACGTAAAATGAAAGCTCTAATAATGTAAGCCATGTGGGGATCCACTGTTAAGACAAATGCATTTAAAACACATAGGGAGACCTTGTAAAAGCCATGTATGATTTCCAAAGTTCCATCTTACTTCAAACTTACTATCTTATACTGTAATCTAAAAAAGTGGAATTTTTATCCATAATGTAAATTCTATAAACAATGTCATACTAAAAAGACAGGAAGAAAAAAATGTTCCCCCCAGTTAAATATAACATTTACGTTAAAGTAGCCAATTCTGCCTGAAATGGTCTGTATTTCTGAACAGATTGAGAATAAATTTAAACGACTGGCTTTTTGAGAGCCATATTTTTAAAAGCAGTTATAAAGGCTTGTAAAAAATTTATGAACAAGGAGAAATCAGCATAAACCATCCAAGCCAAATGTTCTTAAAGGGGCAGAACTTGCAATCTTCCACTAAAAATGACAGTTTTTTGATCAAAATATCTATCTATTACTCATATTTTTACTTACCAATACAGTTGGTGTGCAGTGCACTGAGCCTAAATCCTGCCTCGCAGTTACAAGTGTAACCGTTCTGCGTAGGAACACATTTTCCTCTACCACATACTGTTGGTGAAGTTGCACACTTGTTAATACCTGCGAAAAGACATGCACAGCCATCGCTCAGAAAACAGACAATAACATTTCTGACCCAACGTTAAAGAGGTTGTAAAAAATGAAAAACAGCATTCCAGTAACACATGTTGCTCTCCGTGGGTAACCATTTAGCTGTTTTACAGGAGGAGTCTTGGATGAGGAGTGGTTTTACAGCAGTGTAGTATGCTAACAGGTGGTATGGCACTCTTACAAAGAGTTGAGTCAAGAAACAGGTCGTGCACCATAGAGCCTGACATTAGTTTTGTTCTTGTCTTATTCTACTCAAAAGTGCTGAGATAAAACATGTTGGCTTCCAGTGGCTGGCTACAGACTGAAACACTCTATAGCACAACTTAGATTTATCTAGTCCCTCAATCGCTTTGTCACACAATGTTTATGTCACCCAATTTACATTTATCCTGTCTCTTGTCTCTTCCTTTCACTTTTCATAAATCTGGTCTATGTCCAATCAGGATGGCGTACCCTTCCAAGAGGCGAACACTTTCTTGGTTTTGCGCCCTCTCACCCTCTGTGCTGCACGTCAACTTGAAGCCAATTTGGCTCAAATACAGGGTCAAATAAAGCTCTCTCAGGCTTTACTTTGGGTAAGCTTACAAAAATGCTTTATAAGATGTGTCGCTAGGTCTGCCAGCTGTTGACAGAAAGCATGAAAAATTGAGAATTGAACTCTCGACTCCTTTTATGTGTCAAAGTCCTGCAGTTCCATAACCGTTTGCCTATTTAGTTGAAAGAGGTATCCAGTATGGCTAGACCTATTTCCTTTATAGATTTGTTTTACTTCATGTCTTACCAGTGACTTTCAAGTTTGTTTCCTTTGAATCTGGCCTCTGGTTGATGTTTGGAAAGTCTGGAGAGGTTTCTAGAAACAGAAATAAGGCAGGCCATAAAGAACTAGCACATATATGAGTACATATAAAACTAGCTAGACAAAACTTTATAATAAATGCAATAATCATGAATTTAAGCAATCTTTAGTTCCTGCATGACTCAAGATTATTTAATACATGTACTAATGCTCACCAAGAACTAATGAACAACCCACTATGAATTTGTTTGATCCCTTCAAACTGAACATATTATCAATTAAAGCATAAATTACTGTTACTTCCTCCATTAATCAATATGCTACAAATGAAAAAGTATTTTGTCATTTTATAAATGTTAATTACATACACAAAAACATAATTTGTTTTCTTGATTGATGGTATGTAGTGATTTCACAACTTTATCACCAGAGGAATAAACCATTGTTCATTCTGAAAAATTTAAGAACCAAAAAAAAGACTAAAATGAAGCTTTTATTTTCCAGATGACAGGAAGTTAATCATCTTCTGGGTAAATAAGAAGGACTTCTCACAATACTGAGTGCTTTTTATAAAATTGACTAAAAGAAAATATGTGTTCCTTTATGAAATATGAAAGAGATTGGATGACTCTCTCAGCCATTCTCACCACATATCTTAGAGTTTTGTCTATCATACTTCAGTTTTCATAATACTGCCTTGATAAAGGTATAAACTTCAGTCTTGAGAGGAAATGTATCCTCTGTGAAGTGGTCTCGGCCAAGTTTGTGGCATGGAGAGTCTAAGAGAGATCAGCACTGTTTAAGGACTTAACACACATCCTTGAGGGACACCTGTGCTCAGTTTTATAAAGCACAATGTTTTACAGACAACACATACTGACTGTTTACTTCCTGAAAGGAAGCCCAAAATCAAGTTGAATGTTTAAAAAAATATATATGATATAAATTTTCAAAATGAGATTCTCAGTTTAAAAAATAATGTTTGTTATAAACTAAATTAGAAAAGCACTGAAAGAAAAGTAAACAAATATTTAACAATTTGGTATGAACACACTGATTACTGAATGTTTGGTTACACTAACAGCTTATCAATTTTTTTGTGGACATTAGCTAATTTTGTCATACCCTGTATTTATTATTGGTTGATTTAACATAAACATCTATTAAATGTTAGAATACTGAATGTTTTACTTCATTATATGAACATGCAGTAAAATTATTATGGGGTTATGATGAGCAAGATGATTTTATGATATAATATAAATGAGTTTTGCATTAAGTAAGGTTTATATAGAATATTATAAGTATCCTTAATGTGTTATTGACTCACTAACACTCTTTTTAAAATATGTTTTTGGTTCTCTGTAGGCGGCACCGGGATCAAGTGGTAGAGTTGTTGCCTCTCAGCAAGAAGGTCGCCTGATCGAATCCCAGCCAGGGACTTTTCTGGGTGGAGTTTGCATGTTCTCTTCGTGCATGTGTGGATTTTCTCCGGGTACTCCGGTTTCCTCCCACAGAGCTAAATCATGCATGTTAGGCTGATTGGTAACTCTAAATTGTCCCTAGGTGTGTGTGAGAGTGGGAATGATTGTTTTGTTTGTTTCTATGTGGACCTGTAATGGACTGGAGACCTGTCCAGGATGTTCCCTGCCTCTCGCACAGTGATGGCTGGATATGGGCACCAGTGACTCCCATCACCCAAAATGGGAGAAGTGGAGGAATCCCCCAAAAAAGAAAATGGATGGATGGATGAATGGTTCTCTGCAGCTAAAACAAGACACTGCTTGTTTTCCCAGCAAAAACCGCTTCAGCTGCCTCCCATTACTTAATAGGATAAAAAATGAGCCACTCTTCTTTCCAGGCTAAAACATTACAATAACCAAAATAAATCAGGGTGACTCATCGGACATAGTCAAACTTGAGACTTTAATGGCAATGTTTTCACTGGAGTGAGGACAAGGACCGAGACTGCCACCACTGTGCAAGGGAAAACACATTTGGGTTTGACTCAAATGTTAAATCAAACCACAAGAGGCATTAAACAACAGTTTGGGGTCCCTTGTTCAACAAGCCATGTTGTAATAATAGTATAAGTAAAGCCAATAAATAAAATACCTGGATATTTTGGCGGTGAGTCGGTCACAACAGCTGGCTGGAAAACAAGTAAACATTACCCATCAGTAACAATTTGGAATGCATTTTTCATCACCATGTTCTCATTCAAGTTTGCTTTTGTTGATTAATGATATGCTAATTCCGTGTGTCTACCAAAATGTGGTCTGAATTTGTTATATAATCACAAAAAATCCATTAGCTGACATAGCTTTGGTATGTTGTTCTTAAAAACATCATTTCAAATGCATTTGCCAAGAGCTTGATAGAATGGAAATAAAACTCACCGGGACCAGAATTTCTACATCTGCATCAAAACAAACAAATAAACAAACAAAAAAAGATTAATCAATAGTAAAAATTGGCATGCTGTTCACATTAACAAGCACAAATACCTATTATTCTCTTCAAACTTTTTACTTGCAGTCTTTCTATCTAAGAACAAATGGACTAGCAGCAGAAATTTCCATTCAGACAAAAATAAATTCTGCATTTGAGGTGCAGTGAAGACTACTGGCCAAGAAGAAATGAAAACACAAAGACATCAAGATCTCTAATAATGAAGACAAAAATCACAAAATGTTTAAAGAACCGCGTGCACTCAAATAAATCAGAATGTCCCAGCCTTGCCAGTAAAACTGTCTCACTGGCATTAAATCAATATGATACATTCATGGAAAACTTAAAGATTAAAAACGTGTGGCCTTTAACTTTTTTGCATTTATGTGAAGTCCAGAAGGGTTTCATCTTAAAGAAGGGAAGATACAAAAATAATGGAAGTATTCATCCAAGGATATTAAAAACATCCTGTTAATTTTTTAATTCTCCTAAAGATTCTAGTCCTTTCATGCTTTAGTAATACCACGTTACAAGTTCTATTTATTACAATAAGTTATCACGTTCATTTTTATAATTAACAAACCTAACATGATGGATATTTCATTAAATCTAAGAGTTTAGTGTTACCTTCTGGATATCCAGGGCTTTCTCTCTCTGGATGATAAGGATGTTGTGGAGTGGTGGGGTACTGGGGTGCTTGAGGTGTCTCATAGTACTCAGGATATTGGGGTATTTGGGGTGTTTGATTGTGGTTGTGATGCCGTGTAGGCTGAGAGGATGGGAACTCAGAGTATTGCTCGTCTAGTGCCAGTCCTGTATTCTGCAGCTCATCTTCTTCCAGCTGTCTGAGAGAAATCTGCACATCTGAGCGCGAGTACGTGTATCCATGACCCACTGGGCAGATCTCCTTGAAGTGGTCTGTAGGACAAAAAGTCAAAAGCTAACAATAAGTGATAGAAACCATCATCTCTGTAGTAAGAGCACAAACAATTTTTATGGGCCAAAAACAATAAATATTTGGGCACAAAACAGCCTGCAGACCACCAAATGGCAGTCACTGTTTATATGAATAACCAACCTGTGCAATTAATTGTATTTTATTCATCCATCCATACAAACACCCATCCATCCATCCATCCACCCATATATCCATACATCCATTCATACATGCATGCCTTACTTTTATTGTTGTAAAGGAGATTGTTTAATTGTAGCAGACTTAATGAGTTGGCTGTCAGTGAGTCAGAGTGCGATCAGTGAGAGGATTTGGAAATATTGGAGTAAATCTGCACACTGTAACAATCGCACACTCCCATGTAAATGAGGCAAGCAGTGGATCATTTAACTCAGACTGACCCTCAAACTCGTTCAGTGCTGAAGCGTGAGAGTGAGAAGCTAATGGAGCATTGTGCAGCTAGATAAAGGAGGGAGACTGCACCTCTTTTTGTCTGAGGTCAACAGAACTCAGCAATGGTGAATCCATTACAAATGAGAGGCTTTGTGTCCCCTGCCTGACCTGAAACGAACAACTCATTGCCAGAAGAGTCTGGTATAAAGATATGAGTAATGACAGACATGTGGCTCGTGTAAATGCAGGAAATGTGGATATGATCGGCTACTGAATGATGAAACTAAAGTGAAGGGAAATGAGGATATATAAGATGAAGATCCACATCAGAGGGTCTGGATTAAATGAAGGAACTCCTGTTACCAAGTGACGAGTAATCAACCTTGCTGCTTTGCTCCGAACACAGCTGTAATAGCTTGTCCAGCCATGCAACAGACTATCTAAAATAATCAAAGGTTGTGTTTATGTCCAGCAGCATCATGGAGGTCTGTGTGAAATATCTGATCTATCACAACCTCTATGAATCACTGGCAAGCATATACACTTCATAAAAGCTGCTTGTTTCTCTCTGAGACTTTGAAGTTTAGATCTGGAAGGAGCAAAAGATGACAACTACTTCCCATGTTTCTTTTGGCAAAGGTATGGATTTCTGCTGGCGTTTTATTGGGATTTCTCTCTGAGGGTTGGAGTGATAACACAAGGCTCACTCCCACCATTATGCTGCCTCCAAAATGTGAACACTGTTGTGTTTTTGGTCCTTTTCCACTCCAAACACATTTAGTTATTTTGAAATGCTTTACATATCTGGCAGAGAGGAGAATGATGACTGAGTAGTAAATACTCTAAGCTTGTACTCTACCTATTATTGCTAGCACATGTGTGAGATAACATTTCATTTCTGCAAAAGCATTTAGCTAGGAAAAGGGTTTCTCAGCTGGTACAATAAAACCAAACCTTGACATTTGACTTTGCAGACAAAGCAAACTCTCTCAGCAGCAGCACAAAGTAGTTTCTCGTACTGTACCTGAACCTGGCAGAGGGCAGCGATCGCATTCATCTCCCCAGGCTTTTCCAACACGGCTGCAGCAGCAAATCTGTTTGGTGATGTGATTAGCAAGTGGCAGAGAGCATGTTCCTGATGAAACTGACCGGTAGCATGAAGCCCTGTGGTCAGATACTGCCTTGTCCGCTGGGAGAGGGAAGTTAAAGTTATATTCAAATGCACCACAAGAAACGCCAAGAAAACAGAACTGGGCCTACAATTTTAAATGAAGGAAACAAAGCAATACTTACAAACACAGTGGCTCCTGGCAGCATCCAACATGTAGCCTGGTTTACATGTGCACCTGTAGCTTCCTTTGGTGTTGAGACATTCAGCGTTCTTACATATCCCAGGCAGCAGGCACTCATTGATGTCTGTGAAAAGTAGGCTTTGTCAGTTTTCTAGTTTTGTAAAAAGACAGTTTTCCCAAAGCCAAACACTTTTGAATTCATGCAGAACCACTCAAATAAACTTTATACTGCATAAATAGTCAAATGTACTTCCCAGAGCGTACGCAAAACATTGATGCAAGCAGACTGACAGAGACGATGAAAGTCAAAGTCAATAAGAAGAAAACATTTGCAGGCTTGAAAAGTTTGCAACTGATTAACTTTTGGAGTCAACCCAAGTCAAGATGGCTGCCACAGCAAACTTACCTTAGAAAACATGAAAACTGATTAAAGTTCAGTCAGTTGTTGCAGATATTTTGTTAGAAATTGGTGTAGTAGGAGCTGAGAGTCCTTCATAAGACTTACTCTGAGTGTGACTTTTTGCAATATTACATTAGATGTTGTTTTTCAAGGTCAACATAAGATGATCATAGTTTAAAAATCATGAACAGTAAATCATGGCATGAAAGGTGGCAGAGAATATGCATTCCTAAAAAGAAAAGTTAGGTCTTTAATTGTTGTTAAGTACTCTTAACGGTATTCTCAGTTTGCACAAATAAGTAAAAGTCCCAAGGTGTTTTATTTTGTCTGTCTGGTTCTAGAGTTATTTTTAACAAAGCCAGTGGAGTCTGTCTACTGTTCCAACAGCTCCCGAGTCACTAAATCAAACAAAAGCATGCAATCCAGTTAATGTGCCAGGCTGGAACATGGGGGACATATTTGAGACTCTTAGTCATGCGATCACACTGAGACCTGGCAAAGTTTGTTGTTTAACCGTGTTAAACAAAGAGTACATCATTACGTTTTGTTTCCCATTGGCTCTGATGACAGCCTGCCACCACAGATTTTCCCAATTCAAATTAATCTGCTCTTGTTTGGTTGTTTTGCTTCCTGCTGGAAAAAGTGAGCTTATAAGGGATTGGGGTTGATAAATTCTAAAGGAATGACCAAATCCAAAGAACGCCTAAATATTTCCTTTGTTGTTTGTTCTCGCAGCTTTTGTTTCACTTTCAAGTTGACTTTTTTTATACGTTTTCTTCTCCAAGGAGGCTTTAGCTCTAAATCAAAGACTGTCCTTCTAATGACTGGGCCTCCAGCTTCTGTGTTAAAGTAGTAAAAACAAACCAATCATACTCAGACAATGAACGAGTCCACAGATGTCATCCATGCCTGAGAGTTCCTGTCTGTAGGAACCAGAGGGACTTGGTTCTGGTTCAAGCAGCATCTGGTCAGGGGTCAGGTCAGCACTGAGCTCAGTCTTCATCACATGAGGTCCTTAATGTGTTGTTCAGTTGAGTCCCAGATTAGCGTTATTGTTACAGTCTGCTGGTGGGTTGACTGGGATTGAAACTGACTTTCATGACAACCCGTCATTGCCGGCACTAATCTCAAAATCTATTTTGAATTCACGCTTGGCTGCTCATACTTTGGGGTAAGTAGCTTTTGCCGTGATTGTTTTTACAGTCAAATTGCGAATGAAGAGATATGCTCACTGCATGTCAAACAGTTTTTGTCACCTTATTTCATCTTGACTCAAGGTAATTCAAACACTTGTAGACTTATTTATGACCAGAGACCAGTTCACGCTGTACATGTATGTATCTGCTGTATTATAGGTTAAAAAAGACCTAGCACTTTAAAGATAGTCACTAATTGTTAACTAAATCATCCTATAGGAAGACTAATACACTGGTATACCCACTGCCAATAAAGATAAAAACACTGATAATGTTTGCATCTGTTTGTTTGTCTGTAAAATAAGCTGAGAGTCATCCATCCATCCATTTTCTTTACCCGCTGAGAGTCATTCACAATATATAATTTGAACACTCAACACGATGCAATATTTTACCTAAGAAATAGAAATAACTCGGCAGCACGGTGGCGCAACTGGTAGAGCTGCTGCCTCTCAGCGAGCAGGTCCTTGGTTCAAACCCCGGTCCAGGGGCCTTCTGGGTGGAGTTTGCATGTTCTCTCTGTGCATGCGTGGGTTTTCTCCGGGTACTCCGGTTTCCTCCCACAGACCAAAAACATGCATGTTAGGCTGATTGGTAACTCTAAATTGTCCCTAGGTGTGAGTGAGAGAGTGAATAGTTGTTTGTCTCGTTTGTCTCTATGTGTCCCTGTGATGGACTTGCGACCTGTCCAGGGTGTACCCCGCCCGTCGCACAGTGATTGCTGGACATGGGCACTAGCGACCCCCGTGACCCAAAATGGAATAAGCGGGTAAAGATAATGGATGGATGGATAGAAATAACTCCTGTTAGCAAACTATTTCTTTAGAAACCAAAGAAATGATCTGAACGAAACTTTTAGAAAGCATCCCTGGATGTACATCTACAACTGATTAACCTTTTACTTAACCCAATTTAAGATAGCTAGTCATTAGACAACACAAAATTATTATAGTTTATTAATATTACAAATTAGTTACCCATAAATATTATATGGTAGTAGCTAATAGTCATTCCCATGATATACTCTAAATGGTAAGACTTCTCACGAGATCTCACAATATTTAAGAGGTTTGATCAAAACAGCATTAACTTCATTCATTTTCATTACAAGTCTCAGTCTAAAACTCTGGCTTGAAACGTGGCAGACAATATGCATTTCTTTAAGTAATGCTAGGCATTAAGTGATATATCCAGGTTTTAAGCTTTTTTTTTTTTTTCAAATGACAAATAGCAAATATGTTTTAAATTTGTCAGAAGATTTTAAAAAGATTATCTGAAATGTCTAAGGAATTATGGCAAACTTTCATCAGCTTTTCTTTGAAGTGGTACATATGACCCAATGGTTTACCACCCACAACAGTGGCTTCACAAGCGTTTTTGTGGGCCTTTCATCTAACAAGCACAGCTACAAATAGCCAATTCAGTCAGCCGAGATTCCCAGAAGCAGTGTCGGAAGATAAGAAATCATCTCTGAAGTCAGAGAACTGACTAACTCTCTGATGGAGTGTCCTATCTCAGAGTAGGGAGGATGTCACTGACCACAACAGTCATGGTAAAAAAATCAACAGCAGTGAGCCCGCCATAGTCCAGAATGTGAGACAAGCTCTGCTCTGTTCCAAAAAAACACACTACAAGAGGCTCAGAATAGGAGCCACACATGGGCAAGCTGGACACCATCCGAATAGTAATAAAAAGGTCCCAGAAAAAAGATAAAAAAATCTTGGCAGCTGGGGCGAGACATAACATTAAAATAATGTTTTGGGAAAATAGTAAAACCAACTAAATGAGATAGAAACTTCAGTAAACATTGTGGTTAACTGTCACCTTTAGAGTTATTTTGGACCTCAAGAATTGAGCAAATGAAAGGGAGTAACATCTTGAAACAATTTTAAATGAAAAGCGACATGTATTTCTACAATTGTTGGCTGGTCATCTATGAAATACTGACATATGCAAAGACTATTCCTAGCAAGTTTTTACAGTTTAATAAAATCTTTTCTGCTCAGTATATCAAAGAAAACAGCAATAATTTTATGCAGCTGTGAAAATTTGTTCAACTTGCTGAACAAGAGGGCGAGGTGTGTCATGGAGGTGTTCAGAGCTGTCCACTGAACCATTATGTTATTTTGCCCTATAGGCTTCAGTAAGCACCACTCTTTGGATTATGACACTGTTAATTAAGTCAGTTGCACAGTTTTAAGTAGACTGTTTTTGTTATTTTAAGTGTCAACATTAGCTGTCAGAGCTGGATCTTACACCGAGCTGGATATTTTTTCCATAACTTTCAGCCATTGCTTATTTATTTGCCCCATTTTCTAATAATGGTGTTGTGTACTAAAACAACCAACACATATACATTCTCTAATTTCTTTAGCTGGAGACTGTCAAAGTTGACACTGTGGGTGGTTATTGCTTCTTAGACCATGAAAGCCAGCTAAAAATCTTTCCCCCCAATGCTGCAGAGCAAGAAAGCAATCCATGTTAGGGATGGATCTTTGAAATTATGCCATATAATAATGCAGGGATCTGCTGGCTGCCGAGCAGGTTTCCATCTGTTGAAACATTTATTAAGGATAAAGCAACTAGCTACTGTAAACACTTCCATAAAATGTACACAGAGCACCATATTTACCATATTTGCCTTTGCTCCAGAACCCTAAGTCTAATCAAAACAGGAGCCCCAGGTGCTTATTAGCTGCTGTTCTCTGACCCTAAGTCTGTGGTTTTGACCTGGTTTCCATAGGTGTCAGATCAACAGCAGTGGTGTTAAAGGGATAGTTCTTTTGTCAAGTGGACTAGTGTAGAGTATATCAACAGTGAGTCTCTTACACACAATAGACAGTAGTCAGAGAAATGTCAGTTTTGAAGAATCAGGGAGAAATTTTCACACGGTAGACAACTGAACCACTACCATCCATCTATCCATCCATTTTCTTTCACTTATCCGGGGTTGGGTCGCGGGGGTAGCAGTTTAAGTAGGAAGGCCCTGACTTCTTTCTTCCCAGCCACTTGGGCCTGCTCCTCCAGGGGGAATACCAAGGCGTTCCCAGGCCAGCTGAGAAACATAGTCCCTCCAATGTGTCCTGGGTCTTCCTCTGGGTCTCCTCCTGGTGGGACACGCTTGGAACACCTCACCAGGGAGGCGTCCAGGAAGCAGATGCCCGAGTCACCTCAACTGGCTCCTCTCGACGTGGAGAAGCAGCGGCTCTACTTTGAGTCCCTCCCGGATGACCGAGCTTCTCACCCTATCTCTAAGGGAGAGCCCAGACACCCTGCGGAGAAAACTTATTTCGGCCTCTTGTATCCGTGATCTCATTCTTTCGGTCACAACCCAAAGCTCATGACCATAGATGAGGGTAGGAACGTAGATCGAATGGTAAATCGAGAGCTTCGCCTTTTGACTTAGCTCTCTCTTCACCACGACAGACCGGTACAGCGCCCGCTTCACTGCAGATGCTGCACTTATCCGTCTATCGATCTATAACTCCATTTTTCCCTCATTTGTGAACAAGACCCCAAGATACTTAAACTTCTTCACTTGGGGCAACCACTGAACCACTACACATGAGTTTATAGTTTCACCAACCAAGTCTCAAAACAGAAACTACAACACTAAAATAAATAGTGACTAAAAGGGCAAAGACAATGAGCGTTTTGTTTCCTGGGATGATAAGAGGACATAGAGTTGGCTCATTAGCAGCAAGATATTTTGAGCCATTACTCTTTTGAACAGAGGTTACAACATTGACCCCCTTACAAAATTTCTTCCTGATTCACCAAAGTGATTGTGCTCTAACTGTTGCTTATTATAGGTTAAAGAAAACTACTCAACACAGCCCCACTGTAAAATAAACTAATCAAATAATGTAATATGAGACATTATTTTAAAGGTTATTCTTTATGAAGAGAATAAAATCATACATTCAGAAAGGACAATTTTAAACACTGTTATGCCTTACCTTGACAATGAGTGATATTCATCCTTTTAAAACCTTTTGGACATTCCACTTGTCCATTTGCAATTACTGCATACACTGCAAACAGGAAAAGAAAGCAAAATTTTCTGTCATAGAAGGATTTTAAAAGTGAAAGTTGTTGCTTAAACATGCTGGAGAAAATAATAAAGGGACCAACAATTGGGCCTTGTGGGACTCTAGAATGAATTTAGGGGAATTAAGACATTTAATGGCATACAAGGAATGAGGAATAACACACATCTCGTGGTAAAACTATTGTCCAAATCCTGTTTTGCTTATTTAGCCAGAACAATAAAAAAAAAATGGTCACAGAAATGTCAACATAAATTTAACTGTTTGTTATAGTCCCAGTGCAGACAGATTGTCAGTGCCAGAGGCCTGTAAACTTGGTGTCATTATTCAACTGGCAGGAGGTCAAGCCTCAGTGCGCTCCATTAAAGACACAGACAGCTCTGTGTGACGATCATATGGTGAAAACTGAGTCTATTTGTGTTTCGTTGAGTGTGTCTGTAGCTACATTTGACTGACGGAGTTGATGTGTGCGAGATTTTATGTTTCTGAGCAGAAACGGAGTGAACAATGGTAACAGAATCTTTTGTGATATAAACTGAGATGGAATATTTTTCTTATTAAAATATCCAACTAGGTGCTTTTGGTTGAGGAGAGCTGTAAAAAAATGATGACATTCTTGTCAGCGACTGTTTCCCTTTGTCTATTCACATTACAGTCACTAAACCTAAAACAGACCCTCTTGTTAAATAGTGTCTTAATTGGCAGCCATGCTTCTATCCAAGGTTTAGATTTAACTCAGTTGTTAGTATCTTTTCATCTTATCAGTATAATTTTAGTTGTTAGTTTTCTTCTTGTTTATATTTAATAGTTCTTATTTCAGATGCTCCCTTCTTCATGGGTTGCCACAGTGAGAGATCTCCCATAAAACATTTCTCAATTGTTGTATGCTGGATGCCCATCCTGGTAGAGTTGCATTCGGGCCTAAAAAATCCAACTCAACCCGGCCCCAGCCTTTAGCCATTTTGTTCCTAGCCTGACCCGACCCAATCATTTAACTGTAAATACAGGCCCAAACCCGAATCAGTTTGACATAATATTTTTGAAATATATTTCAAAGAAAGGAAGACATAAAATTTATTGGTTATTAACAAGTCACCAAATGGATATTAACATACAAAACCAATAGCCTAAAAAAATCTACTTTAAAGATAGGCTATGATGAAGAAAAATATTTTTAGAGCAAAGTTATTTGGAAAATATAAAACAAGGCTATGCCTCCTCCTCTAAATGTAGATTAACACAATTTTATATTGTGCATTCTTATTTAGTTTTCTTTGTGCATTCATAAAACCGTATCAAAAGCCCGAGACCGGCATGGCCCGCCCATCAAGCACATTATTTTGGCCCGACCCGGCCCGAATTCCGGGTCGGGCCCGGGCCTGGTTAGAAATTGAAGTTCTACTTCCTGGTGGCACCAGGGCTCAACTCTGCAGCCTCAGGATTATGAGCCTGCAGCACTGACCACTAAGTTCCTGCTGCCCTTTCTGTTTGTTTGTTAGCAAAATATCTCAAAAAGCAGTGAACAGATTTGAAAGTAACCACTGATGTACATCAACAACTGATTTTGAAGTCAACTTGGCTCATGATATCCCCCACAGTTAATATCCTTTAGCAAACACAAAAAAAGACTATAACTCAGTTATTTTTACAGATATTGTACTGAACTTTGGTGAGCCCTAGAGTCCTCCCTAGCACAAACTCTAAGGGCTAAAAGATCTCACAACTTTGTTTAAAAATTTGCCTATTTTATTTATTTGAAAATGCCAGTTTTGATTTTTTCGATAGTTTTGAAAATTAGCAGAGTTATCCAAAATTTACAATAAATATTTTTACTGGGTCGAATTCACTGGAAAACATTAAATACTTGTAAAAACTTTTCCAACAAACAAATAAGTTTGCTGAGTTGATTGTTTTCTGTAGCCTATTCTGATTCTGTCCCAGTATAACCAAACTGACATCTCCTTCTTTTCAAAAGGTATTGGATGTGAAACTTGAAGTAAGCATAACCAGTGTTTCAATGTTTTCACAAATTTATGAGTGAGAACGATTAGCTTTTAGCCACATATTAAAATTCACTAAAAGCATTATTCTATTTTAGCGATACGGTGCTTTAGGTTTCTCTTTCCAATGTTTGTTTTCATATTATGGTTTAGTTTTGGCTCTCACTGTCCTGCCTCCTGCTTGAGAGTTCAGATTTGGTTCCTCCACCACACCCAGCTATGACTGACTGGACCACAGCGTTTAATCTGTTGCCATAGCAACAGAAGATTGTAAACAAAAATGATACATGCTAGAACTCACAGCATCGGTGCCTCGTCAGCAAAGAAAACTCTCTAGTGGTTGAGGAGGAAGGGAAAAGTAGCACAACATTTGTGACCATGGCTCAAGCAAACCAAAGTTTTGACTGTTTGTGGTAAAATGATGTAAAGGGCCATCTGGAAAAGCTGGTTCAGACAGGAAAACACCTGTTCCCATAACACCGACATTAAAATCAAGGCACTTACTGTACAGCAAACTGTTTTATATGATTACTCCACAACTAGATTTTGTCCTAAATATGTTCCCCCAAAATAATACCCAACAATCTATCACAGGTTAGTGTCATTTTCCCAAGACTGACTGGAATGCCTGGCACATGCAGGTTTTCTGGGAACAAGCTTCTGAAAACTGACTCGTGTTATAGTCCTGCTGTGACCCAGTGGACCAGGCAGGTTCAGTGTACCTGAGGGTTGACAGAGCAGAAGTGGGTCAGCATGAAGGAGGTAGCCAGAAAATGAGGGGAACTGTGTCAAAGCAATGCTTCTGTTGCTTGTCGTCCTCCACACCCTCCTAATCCTTCTCCAAAGACTCCGAGTAATTAGTTGTTGTGGAAAGGCGATGGGCACAGCTTTCCTACAGTGAAGGAATCAGGGAATGTCTGGCCTGAGTGAATGTAGGCCATAAGTGGCAAAGCAAGCCCGGTAGGGAAGGTCCATTATTATCTCTAAAGTTTATTAGCAAGGAGAAGAAGACCTCTGCAGACAGTGAGATCTTCGGCAAAAATTAAAAACATTTTTTGTCAAAGGGTTGAAATGGTTAAGAAGGAAACATAAGCTAACTACAAATGTCTCAAACTGCTTTAAAACATAAATCTATTAAGTTTCAATACGTACCAGATGCATTTTGAAAAAAAATGTTTTTTTGTTTTACTTTATTTGCACATGTTGGCAAACAAAGTTTAATGCTTCCATGTGCACTCAGAAAGGGTTGTTACTGGAGTTCAGTTGGTAGATATTTAGTGCTCCCTGGGGACACTTTGTTTGCCGTATGTTCAAAACCAGCTGGTGAAACTCTGCACACAGATGTGGGCAATGGCCTGACTTTAAACTGGTCGTCTTTGGTTTATTAAAGATATAGAGAGTTTAGATGTCTGTAGCCAAGGCCTGTTTTCGAAACCAGAAAGAAGTTGGCTGTGAAATGCTCCCATCATACAAAAAGCAAATATAATAGTAATTATAGAGTCTAAAATAATGTATAGAAAATGTGGAGCACACAGGCAGGGGTTTGCAAGATTGAGCTCAAACTGCACCTTTGGTTACAGAGACTGTTGACCCAGACTTGTCAGGATCCAACAAAACCATCTACCTGTATTTGTCATCTATCCATTTAGCCTTGTCCACCAAAACATTATGCCATCCTTCACTAATGTCCATCTTCATTCAATTGTGATGTATTGTACATTCAACTGGATACTGTTGAGTAATACTTGTCAAAAATCTTCACACTGAAAGTGTGATTCCAATTCTTTAAGGTTTATATGATTTCCTGTGTTGTTTTGAGGTGAATCTGAAGATGTCTTTTAGTCTCTTTTTTGCAATGGCAGTAAAATTACACACTGCTGAATACTCAATAGTAAACTTATGCAAACAAAAAATGAGAATTCAAGTCAGTTAAATATGATGAAATCTCACTGCAAACCTTCCAGCTTTCAGGGTACTCTTCTAAAGGCTGAGTAGTCTGCTCCATCAATCACAGGCCCTGAGGCTTTTTGCCAGAATCTCTAGAAACTTGCCTAGAAAGTACTATAATCATAAGGTTGGACTGCCTCACTTAACTGACTGGAACAAACCTGAGTACATGTGGAAGAGAAAATATGAAGGGATGCATGCCATGCACTGAGACCAACAGATATTTGTCTTCCATTGGGGATCACTCTATACAAAAACACTAAAAACCAAGACTCAGGATCCTTTCAAAAATTATATTAATGACTAGCTGAAACTGGAAAGACTGGTGCTGCCAAAAAATAAATTAAATAGAGCTTGTAATCATAGTGGAAGGCTTTTCTGATTTGTTTTTTAGATAACATTTTATTTGGAAAACAAAAGCTGATAAAAAAAAATTCTCTCAGGACAAAATTAATTCTTGGCAAAGGCAACATTTACCAATCTGACATTGTCCACAATTTTAAAGGCTACAGCATTGATCACTTGGATTCTTACCTATGAACATGTACTATATTGCCTTAAGACATTCAACGCCCAACACACAGACTTTAATGACTCAGTTCACATTTTAGCAGCATCAAACCTTCAAGTTGTTGCTTTTCTTTTGGCTGCTTCCTTGAGAGAACTTGTATGAAAGATTTGGTAACTGCTTCAAGCCGGATGCAACCTGGGCTCGAACCTGCAGCCTCAGGATTAGAAAAACACAGCACTGCTCACCAAGCTACCGCAGACCCTGCAATAAATCCTTATGCAAAGCAACCTAATTCACTAAAGTATTCACTGTCACTGTGTAGATAGTTTAACAATGTATATTAACGCCCTCCTCAGAGATATTGATGACAGTGTAACCCACATCAAACACATTTGAAACAGACCCACATTCCTCTATAATCTCCATCTCACTGTGGAATATCAACCATCTGGGCTTGTTCCAGTGAAAAGCATGCCACAGTACATTCCTGGTTCCTAACTTAGTTTGGCTCCAATTAAGAAAAGCATTGCAAATTTCATCCTCCGACTGGGATTAATTTCTCCTGGTGGTTAGGTCTGCTGTGCCCTGATTAGCCACACTGTTAATGGCTTCATCATTCCAGTTGTGAGGGAATAATGCTACGTCAACATCAGTGAATCAGTTGCTGTCAGAGACGTGACGTCTCTATCTAATTACAGCGAGGCGCTGCTGTGGTGTAATTCCATCGCATGCGTTCTTTTGTTGCGTGTTTCTGAGGCTAAGTAATTCCCTTTTGTTCAATGTGTCTGTTAACAAGTATTCATCTTTGATCAGAGTTAACAAAATTAAGAAATACAAGCTCTGGCCCCATTGTCGATGTCAGAGTGAATATTTTAGTCGGGTTAAAAAATCTTGGGAACAGATGGAATACTTTTGAGGGATGAGTTCATGTGGGGGTGGGCAGATACTGTATTTAAAAGTGGAGCTCTACAGGCTTGATTGGAACCTCAGTAAGAATAGTTATTGCAAAAATTTAATGGAAAATGAAGTGAGATGTGACCTCCATAACCCAGGGATGTGTAGTAAGACATAGCCAGGGCTCCTGTGGGTGTGCTGGTTATTGTATGCCTTGGAGACTTCTGTTCTCTCTCCTTGGGAAGCCTCCCAGCATCACTGGCATGAAGAGTCACAGGGAGGATGCTGCCATCAGTGTCAGTTGGGAAAACAGCCAGTGACATTTTACTAATTATGTGGGAGGAGCTGAGAGTACTGGTGAAGCACGTGAAAGTCACGCTGGATCAAACTGGGGTCAGAACAGCTTATTTAACTGATATAAAATGTGTTTTTAAGAACTTGGAAAACTATTTAATTTGATTTCTTATATTTTAACGATTTGATTCTTGTAATCCTAGCGGCTCCACTCACTGCAGTGAATAGCAATTGCTCAACTCTTGACTAAACTGTATTTAAAAGGAAGTACAAGACCGTTTCGTTACTCCACCTCATTGCTTGAGCCAGAAAGATGAATTTGACTACAGTTTGTTCTGGTTGATCTGGATCACATTATTCCAGGAATCCTCAGCATGTGACTTTTAAAGGCCCTGACTCCTGAAGGCTTCATCTCCCACTAAGAGGGGACACACTGGCATTCTTGCCTCCAACCTTCTTTCACATAAACAGGTACAGGCTTAGAAAACTTTCCCACTCGTTGCCACAAGTGTTACATAATAGCCTTAGTTTGTAATGAAAAATAACATGAAGTAACATGTCATCAACTGCCTCAAAATGCTTATATGTATATTTAAAGACTTCACAGGCACACCCAGTCTGAAAGCAATGTAACGACAAAAAAGAAACGCTAAAAGTCCTGTGTGCAGCAGAACCCCATTAAATTCTGCTCATATTGGCAGTTTATGATCTAAAAAGATGAAGTAGTGAACCTAGGCTTCAGTCAGCAGCACATTTTGCAACAGGCTATAAACTGACCAATGGTAGCTATGCACGCTTACACACAAACTGAGCTTTTATGACTTAATTATCACATACTCAAGAGGAAACGCGGGAGACTTGTATCGAGCGCTCGCAACTCTGCAAGCTAACAGCTGATTCCTCAGCTCAGAGAAGAAGAGCAGCATCATTTTTCCAGAGGCTGTTGCCTCAAGGCTGCATGTAAAGCCTGTCGAGCCCATAAGAAAGCACACACCTAATCAGTCCAGCCAGAGAAGAATGTGCTGTAGATTAAGGATAAATCCTATGTCTAAAGTATGAACTATAACACTCAGAGGGAATTTTAAGTATTTGTCTTATTACATTTCCCTCAAAATCTTTAGGGACATCTTACATTACTTCATTTTGACTTCAATTTTTCCTCATTATCACTTTTTGAGTCTTTTTCATGTCGTCCTGCACGCCCCTGCAGCATGCTGCTTCTCAAAAGCAGCCACAGAAATAAGCAATTGGGTATTCATTCTTTTTGTGTGTATTTTTTTTTTTTTTTTTTACTGTCAAACTTCAAAGGAGGGAGGGGAAGAAAACATCTGGGAGCCAAAAGAATCTTGCTGGAGACTATGACAGTGCGTGAATCTGGCAGGCCAAGAGGAGACAAGAAGTAAGAGGGAAAGGAATGAATCAACATCTATCATTGATGGAGGAGAGGACTCATGTCTGCTTCTGATTAAGGTCCAGTCAAACATGGTTCAGGAAGTCTGAATGTCAATCTGTGGGCATGGCTATTATATAATAAATAAACCGAAGAGATCAATTTATCTCCTATGAGGGGAAGTAGCTTCTTATGAGGCTTAAAACAGGGACAAATTGTGACTCCAGAGTGTCAGGACGAGCAGCAGTCTCCATCTAAAGTGAAAAATATTGCCACCCACCCTGCACGCCAGCCTACAACCACTCTGCTGGTTTCCCTTAAACCGACCGCAGCTCCAGTTGGAAAGCTGTTCATTTCCTCACTCTTGCAAGCCCACATCGGTCCTCTCTGCCCACAGGGTGGGTGGCACGCCCGTCAGGAACCCATCTGAATGCTAAATGCATTTTTATTTGCATCCTGGGTTTGGTTTATTGAAAGTGAAGCCCACTTCATTTAAATCACAGGGTGCAGGGGCGGGTCACAAAGCTGTCTAACGAGGGCGGCTATGCTATCATCATCAGTAGCCGTCATTAGTTTTAATGGCTGTGATAATTACAGCCATTCTACCAGGCAGCCACTGCAACAAACAGAGTGGGAACTCCAACAATAATGGAAAACAAATCTGCACCAAAATAAAGCTTAATGAGATTGGGAATACAGATAATTTAAGTTTAACCAAAAAAACCTTTAGATCTAATGGTTTTGGAGCTGAAGACTTACCTGGTTTGGTGGGACACTTTTGACACTTGTTTAGACCCCAGGAGGCGCCAACACTTCCACAGCAGTCATCCTGTTTGGTTAGACCTGGCAGAGGTTTGCCACACTGCAACAACACACAGCTGCGTCAAATCTGAGAAGCAAGTTCTTTTGAATCACAGGTTTGTGCATGCATGCTTGTTTACGTGCAAATGTTTGTGTGCTGGCAAGTGTTTAAGTGCTGGTTATGTCACTGCGTGTGTACAAATCTGTATCCTAGGACAAAATCATCCAGACATAGTTGAGGTTTTTTTTTTAGACAGAGAACAAAACACTGAGGACTGAGACCAAATACAATCTTCTTGGCATGCCTTGTAAAAAGTTGGTACATTATGAAGAGAAAAACATTTATTATTAGTTATTTTTTGCTAGTGTAGATATAGAAACTTAAATCTAAAGTATTTTGGGCTCCTTTTGTGCACAAGTTCTGCTCTTCTTTGACCTAGTGATCGTGCAGTTCAATTTCAATCTCCCAATCGAACCATAGTGTAAAAAATATTAAACTAGTGCTGACATAAACAACTTAATTTAGGGCCAGCTCTTTGTTGCAAAAGCATTGCTGAAGTCTAATAGCATTTAAAGGAGCAGGTTCTGTACCAGGCCTCATATTAGCCTAGCTCATGGACAGCAAATTAAATCTTCCATAACTTGTTTTCGGCTAAGAGTTACAATATTCTTGTTCACCACAACTATATGAAGAGCCTCATTGGCAGTGAGTGAGTGCATAAAATGTATGATGAGTTTTCCCATTTTAGACACAGAGAAACATATGTGCAGAACATCAAGCTTGACCTTTGACCTCTAATGCATAATGATTCATAAGGTGCTTTTTGTCAGGTAATTGGTGGAACATGAGATGCCCAGTGCGGCCTGAGCACATAAATCTTGGACATCAAATAAATCATTCTCACAAGTCGACCTTGTTTGAGACAGCAGCTTTAAGAGGAGGAATGTGAAGATAATGGCACTTGAGGTAAACCCCTTTTACCGAAACTCCTCACATGGTTTAAATCAAAAAGTGATGACAGTTTAAACACTGTGTTTTCAAGGACCTAACATAATACCTGTCCATCGACTGTTTCCTGAAAGCATCTTCCAACATGTCCATTCTGGCGAAAAGGAGTTGTAGCGTGACCATTCCATTGGTTGTTCCTTTGGGGGGTTCTGCTGTTATGTTCGCTGGTGTGTTCATGACCATTTCCAGGTTGGGAGCGCTGCTGGACAGAGTGAGCCCCCTCTGTAGTGGCTGGTCTCTGACCAGGCTGGACTCGAGCTACTTGGTGGACCTGGACCTCAGCCTCGGGCGGGTGCTTAATGTGGACGTTTACCAAAGACGGGTGGAGAGACGCTTGAGAGAGGAAAAGATCCAGAGTTTATATAAAATGTGGAAAATAGTTTAGAGTTTAAAATGTGTTGTTTTGTGACTGGAAGCATCAGCATTCAAAAGATAAAAGCCGAGTTTACAAAATACAATTTTCGAGCTGTCGGATGACATCTAACACAGATTTGTTCAATAAACACTTGCTTCAGCCCCAATTTTTGTGATCTAGGCAATTCCTGGCAGTGAACAACTTCAAAACAACTACAAAAGTTTGGGCTATTTTATAAATTTAAATCAAATCTATTTAAACACCAGAAACTAGTTTACTGTAGAGCCGAAAAGATTTTGCAATGTCTAGAATGAGCTCTTTTGTCTCTCTGACAGAGGGAAAGTATCCATCTTCAGGGAGCGCCAGGGTTATTTCCCAGAATCCCAACCCACTCTCATAAATCATAAACTTACAGACAGACAGCAAAGTCCAAGTAAAAAAAAAGAAACTTTATCAGAAGTCCCAAACTTAAATCTGTGCATAATTTTGTCAAAGTGAATCACTTGGTGTGACAAAACAATACAATTTATCATAAACTTAAATTTGCTTCTATTGACTATTCAACAGTTTCAGCTAAAACAATGAAACTTAAAAAGTAGCAAAATCAAGTAGCAAATATTTCCTTTTTTTATTAAATGAGATTACGAGGTGTCCCAGATCTGTTACTGATAATAACCATCTCTGTTTGAGTAAGGGTGACGGATTGTGCAGGCTGTGGACTTCCACTGAGTCATTTATTTGTTAATTTGCTAAAAATAGCCTGGAGTCTGCAGCTGTTCCAGAGCACGACACTGCTGAGCCTTTAACTCTTGTCTTGTGTGATTAAAAAAAGTGGAAACTTTAATGTTTACAAGCTTTCTTCATATGAGTGGTTAAATGTTTGGTGTTAGGAGCAAATTCACTACAAACCATCATGAGAGACACAATCAAACAGAGTTGCATCAGTTATTTACTTATTTATTTACCATTTTTTGTTAAAGGACAAACATATTGGCTTCAAAACAACCATGGTTTTAGTGAGCTTTATAGCTACTCTGCAGTTATCTGGACTTTTATTGCCAAGCTTTAAGAACGCTGTTGAGGTTTTGGATTAAACCTGAATTGTACTCTAATCTTATAATTTTAATGCATTCAATGTTAAATACAAACGGCCATAAAACAGAAGCATTTTAATACATTTTTTTTTTCATTTTAAGCTGAAAAATATAAGATTTAAATCTATTAAATAACGTTACATTAGAATATTAACATCAAAGTTTTAAAAGGCTGATTTGATTTTTGCATTTTAAAGTTTATCCTGAAAAGGAGAAATCTTTGCGAGCTCTTCCCCCTCACTGTTTGCTCACCTTGTTGATTAGACAGTGGCAGAGTGTACGTGGAATGAGATTTGTGGCCCTTGTGGCTCACATCCTTGTGGCTGAGAGGCGTGGGTTTGGTGGGAGGCGGCGCTGGGAGGTGGCAAAACTTCCCAGTCGAGTTTGATGGACACCAACACAGGTCTCTGCCAATGCACTTGCCTCCATTCATGCAGGGTATCTGACAGAAGACTGCAGCAAATGAATAAAAAGAGGGGGGAAGCAAACACAACACTTAATACCTCAGAATCTCAAGGATTTGGTAATAAGAAACAGAAAGGGTGTGCTAATAGGAAGGGCATGTTTCTGAGGCTCGGGCTTTGTTTGCAAACGGTAGGCAGAGACCACGCAGGTTTCTACCAGTCACCTCATTTGATGTGGCATTTATGAAATTTCTGCAATGTCTTGAGGACAGAGGCATAGCACTGCTCCTCATGCTGCACCTCTTTCATAAGCATGGTTTTGCCCTACAGTACATCGGTAATTGCATATTCTTGAACAGGCTGGTGAGTGATGATCAGTGACTCGTTCAGTAATAAATCCAAGAAAATAACGAGTGCATGAATATTTACATGCAACCTTCAGCTTACTGGCAGAAGACAAAGAATGTGAGTTTTCCAAATGATTAAATCTTTCACAAACAGGGAGGAATTGCACCCCAAAAATATACCGTATTAAAAATCCTGTCTTTAATTTTATTTATAGCTTAAAGTTTACTACTGAGCAAAAAAAAAAGGCTACATGTTCACTCCTTGTCTTTAAGTAGAAGAGCCAGGCCAGGCTAGCACTCTGCACACCTTGACCTGGCATGACCTCTTCAAACTTAAAACATCAAAGAAAATTAAATAACATTAAAAACTAACTTTATCCAGCTAGTGTAATAATACAAAAAAAATAACTTCTGAGGCAAGAACAACAGGGTTTTTTTTTTGTTTTGTTTTTTTGGCCTAAGCTGTAACACAGCTCAAACACGAGGGAATGTTTTTGTCAGATATGTGAATGGCTCAAATAAAATAAAAAAGCTGCTTGTCATGAAATCTCTCTGGGAGCTGCATCTAATCTCTGCCTCATTGAGACAGACAGTAACACACGCACAGGGTGCAAACAGAGAGGCTCTGGACACTCTCTCTTTGGCATCTAGAGATCCCTTTCAAACAGCATGCATACCATTGAAAAATACAAGAGAATACAAATGGAAGAGTACCAAAGACTAAAAGCTATTATATAAAAAAAAGTTAAAATAAATTGAAGACAGGGGAGAGAACAAAACGAGATCAGAATACAGATGAAAAAAAGGTGGAAAACCAGACATGGAGGCTAGAGCCAGTGAGCGCTGGTGTCCAGACACACAAGAAGACCTCTTGTGAATTAACATGCTGGCTAAATTATCAAATAAAATAGACTATTAAAAACATTTTAATGCATGATGCATGTCCATGCTGGTTTGTGTCAATGCATTTTCCAAATTTTAACAAGACAAAGTATTTTTTTTAACCAAATCTGCACACGACAGTCTCTGAGCATTTTAAAAACCTCTGATGAACACAATTTTTACTCAATAAACACACCTCTACCTTGTCTAATATCTGCCTTTTAAAGAAACTGCTGTACACAGGGTGTGAATCAAAGCGAGCCTGTCATAATTATCCTGCTAGGGTTTACTGCAACATGTAGGCAACATAGCAACTGCATGAGATAACTGCTCGCTGTCCACTTGACATTCCAGGATGAACACGCACACAGGAAAAGGCAAAACATCATGTGAGCCTAAATGGAAAGCAACTTCTTTTTAATATGCTCTTTAATACGTGGTTTGACATAATAAGGTGAGATTTGAGGCGAGTAAGTAGGGGCATAAAAACAAAACGTTGCAGCAGAGGAGGAGGAGGTGGAAGGAATGTAAGCTTTTGAAAAGGTCTCTGCGAAGAAGTGTTTGTAACATCAACGTCATGTTAAATTTTTTTTTTTAAAGAATATAGACATACAACTACATTGTGTTTATATATCTTTACAGGTCAGCTGGATTCTTGAGTTTAAAGTGAGGCCTGGTTAAATTTCTTAACATATGTTTGATATTTCGAGGTGTAAGTACTAACTCAAACCCACAAATAATTATTAACTTCAACTGACTGATGAGAAAGCTAAGAAACAAGCAGGGTTGTGACCCTCCCCTTGGCATTGAACGCCCCCTCCCTTCCCATGGACACTCCTGTTCAAGTTTAGAGCAAAGCCCCCTGGATAAATAGCAGGTTTAATGTAATCCCCATAAAAACCCTGTTCATGCTGCTACTCTTTCTCCCTTTCTGCCTCCGTGTCTATTCTTACATTCATTCCTGCTCTCCCAGGGAGCATGTTAAATGGTTAACAGCAGGGCCAGACGCGAGGTGCAAACCGCAAAGAGATGGGGCTGAGTGCTGGGAGCGTGGGACCACCAGCTCCACGTGCGTGTCTACAATGGGAGATTAGACCTCTTTTATAGAGCTTTTAATCTGCTCTACCCATGCTTTCCCTGTCTATTTCTCCTTGACAGTAAGTTTTCTTGCATAGCTCCCAGCTTCAGTCTTTACAACTCCGCTTGTTCTCTGAGCTTGGCATTCAGAGCAGACAGCAGGCTACTGGGAATCCATTTTGTCCTGCTCACCCCATAAAACAAGAAATGAGATATCAGAATGGAGACGCATGGAAGGTTTGTGGGGATTAGAACGTAAACATGAGAGACCAAAAGGTAGAAGTAAAAAATTACAGAACAGACGAGCAGGAACAGAGGGCCTGGAGTTAACACTTACAGAGTCTGAAGCCTTGATTCTTTGGCTGCTGCTGCTGCTGCTGCAGCTGCTGTTGGTGGTGCGAGGTCTCACTGTAGACCGTGGTGACGTCTCCCTTCTCACAGCTGTTGTAGCAGCGACCACCGTTGCACACCCGACGACACAACATAGGGGTAAATACAATCTTGATGCGGTCCAGGCTGGATGTGAGGTTGGCCCCTGGAAGACACACACACATCTTCTTGAGAAGAAGCAGCAGCAGAGGCAGGCTGGAGAGGAGCTGCATCTTTCCTCCTTCAGCCTCACAGTGACACACTCCTCATCTGGATGAAGGTTTATAAGTGTGCGAGGGTGTGTACTGACGATTGGCCAGTGGCACGCTGCAGCTGAAAGGGCCATGTGCCACGGGCCAGAAAAAGACGAAAGATGAATACCATTAGGTATCAGGCAAGCGTCCAAGCCCTTTATCTTCAGTAGAAGGTGTTTTGGATGTGTGTATGTGTAAGGGAGACAAAGAAAGAGTAAGTTCCAGTGAACACTGTGTGATGGTGGGAATCTGTTTAACAGCCGTTGTCCTGGCACAAGAGAAATAAAAGCAGAAGCCAGAACACCAGACAGCTGTTTGCACTGACACATCAGAGAAAAGCGATGTTGTGAAAAAGGGGAACAATGCATAAAAATAAGGTCACTTTTCTGTTTGCTTTGTGTACAGGCATCTGGGTTCAGTGCCTGTCATGCATGAAAGGTGACGGTAAAGGCATACAGCGGCCATGATATGAAACACCTGCTTGCAATGCAAAGAGGTGGATGGGTGGACAGGGGGATGCAACTTGGGTAGATGCCAAGTTTTTTCATCCTTTTTTCTTGTTGCTTGTTCCATTGTCAGTGACACTAGGCTGTGTTTGCATACTTGCTGTGAAGTGTGTCAGAATGGGAAGTGAAAAACATGGATATTGAACTATTGCCTCATAAGCTTTAGAGATGGTTAGTTTGTGGTTCTTACCTGCTGGAAGTAACGCATTGTTGAACTGTCTGTGCAGCTGGCTGTCGCTGGCAGGCCTGGGATTGTTAAAGGAGCTGCCCTGTCTGTTCCTGTGTCCATACCAGTTTGTGCGCTCACTGCTATGGCCGTTAGCATAGCCATTGCTACTTGGCAATGAGTTGGAGGTTATCGGCTCCGAGGAGGATGGATAACGTTTCACAGTACGAGAGGTTCCGCTCTGTTGGGGGGAGGAGTCTGGGGGTCCCCGTCTCACTTGGGTCCTGCCAATCACATCATCACAAGACCATAAACGCATGACGTCAGTTTAATGTCCCACATGTAAACTTGGAGAAAAAGACACACCCATAAGCAACGTGCATCCCTGTGAAATCGGCTCAAGTGTGCAAGGGGAAAACTGTATCCCTAAGAGAAGCCATCTAGGTCATAGCTTTCCCTAATTGAATTTACAGATAAACTTTTTAATCCCTACTTAAATATCAATACCATTTAATCTTCTGGGGGTTTCTCAGCTAACATCTGGTTCAGAGAGCATGGACGATCAGTCTGACTGAGCTAGACAGAGACGGGTATTTATAAAAACAGAAAATAAAAACCATCACAGGAAAAAATAATTGAAGGTCAGAAACGTGTCCTGGTGAAGACCTAAGTGTGACACAGAATGGGACAGGAGCTTATTCAAAAAGCAGGTTGCATTCTGTCTCACCAGCATGTGACAGATGTTTATCACTGAAGAGCACACTGTCCCACACGCTCTGGTCCTGCCTGACTCATGATAGATTTTGATCGAAACTATTTGACAGGTGTTCTAAAGCTTGTTAAATAACTTTACATCCAGAACTGGCTGTTCTCTGTCTACAACACACTTTACAAAATTGGTACAAAAGTCTCAGGCTCTGGGTATGATCATCACTAAAAAACTCATATTTCAAGAATTTAAGTCTTTAATTTCACCATCATTTTAAAAGGGTATGACAGAAGTGTATCAAGGTCAAGGTCAAGGTTTCTTTATTGTCATTCACATTACATGTGGTACATGTGGTGGAACAAAATTGTGTACACAGGGTCCCAGTTACATCCAACAAAAGTATAAATTGTAAAGAAAAACAGTAATAAGATCTAAGAAATTATTTAAGAAATATGCTAAAACTAAGAATACACTAAACACTAGTAGTACAAAAAACAATACGCCAAACAACAGCAGCACGAACATGAGTCTGTGTGAGCAAATGAGTACGAATGAACACAGCAACATGAAATAAATCAGCAGTATGAGATCAGCAGCATGGATAGTCAGCAGCATATATCAACAATCAAGTGGCACTACAGTGATTTAAAAAATATTTCACAGTGATAATCTTGGTTAGGGATTCATGAGTCTAACAGCTTCAGGGTAGAAGCTGTTCCTCAGTCAAGTGGTTCCACACTTCATGCTCCTTAACCTCCTTCCTGAGGGAAGCAGGGCAAAAAGTGTGTGTGTTGGGTGAGTGAGGTCCTTCATGATGCAGGTGGCCCTCTTCCTGAATCTGGAGGTGTATATGTCTGTGGTGGTGGGGAGGTTGCCTCCATCAGTCTTCTCTGCAGCCTCCATGCCACACGTTGATGCTGGAGCACAGGATGCTCTCCACTGCACACCTGTAGAAGGAGGTGAGGACTGAGCTTCCCAGACCAGCTCGTCTCAGCCGTCTAAGGAAGTAGAGTCTCTGATGAGCTTTCTTGATCACACTGGTAACGTTGTTGCCCCAGCTGAGATTGTTGTTCAGGTGCACACCCAAGTACTTGTAGCTGGAAACCACTTCCACCGCAGATCTCTCTATGTTCAGGGAGGGGGGGTAGGTGTGTTTGTTCCGTCTGAAGTCCACGGTCATCGGAGCAAACACACACACCTGAACATAGGAGGATCTGCGGTGGATGTGTATATATATATCCCTAATTGCTCCCCAGGCGCTTGCATAGCTGTCCACTGCTCCACCTGGGTGCATCCCAGGTGCGATGGGTCAAATGCAGAGAACTAATTTCGCCATTTCGGAACATACAATGATGACAACGCATAACAATTTTTTAATTTAGAAAGTATTAAGTTATTCAAATGGAAAAAACTTGAGTTCTTGTAAAGCAACTCACACTAGAAATTTCTGAAAACTTGGAACCCTTTTCCATAAGGCCAGTTCAGTACAGTATAATTTTTTTGTTATCTTTTATAGTGTCTCTAAATTATGTACCAATTATTTAAATGACATTTTATTCATGATTTTTGTGTATGTATTTGCGTTTCCCAAGATTGTGTTTATTAGTTATGTGAAAATAAATATGAGAAAAGTGTCCCAGTGAGGGGAATGAATTCAATCTTTCTTTTTTGCTATTTGTGTCTGCTTGACTTCATTATGAACTGTGGCCAACCAGGAAGGAACATCCTGAAATTTGCACTAGACTGGAGGAAGTATTAAATCTAGGGTCGATGAGCAAAGCTAAATCATGGCTGTGAGGGTCGTGTTTCTACCGGTGAGCATTTGATTTTGGGTCAATTACTGAGCCAGAGTAACACAACCTGGAAGCTGAGCTCATGTGAGGAACCTGAAGAAGGTGTTTGTCTTCCAAACAGAAAGAAGAAAGGGCCTACCTGGGCTTTGGGACTAAATGTGGAATGCTAAACTCCACCCCCATGAAACCATCTGGATCACACTGATCTTCCTTGACAGACAGAGCAAGACAAAGACAAACCCTGTCTGACAGATCAGACAAGTTCTACAAAAAACACCTGTGTTCTTGTAAGCTTGTAATCAAACCCAAAATGAGGGTATAAACTTTTCATCCACATTCATTATATGTACTCTTAGGCGACACATTACGTATTCACGCATTGGATCACTGTTGACCTACAGATTTGCAGCAATATTTAGACAATAAGCAAATCAGACACAAATGTCCACATGCCCACACACTTGGTTGCAAACACAAAAGCAGACACACACACCCTCTTCCAGCTGTGCTACATGAAGTACAAGCCTCTGCAAGTCTCTTCTTTTACAGAGTAGCAGCCACATTCCTGCAGCTAAAATGAACAGGACACTAAATAAAATATTGGGAAAAGGAGACAAACAATTGATGGTTTTTCACATAATCATTTCAAAAGACTCCAGGCAACCCACACAGCTGGCAGCTCTTGACCCAGATGTGAAACTTCAGGGTGGGTCCTGTGTATAGGATATGACACAGGGAAACAAGAGGTTCTAATGTCATGGTACTAAAAGGATGGACAAAAGGTGGCGAGCCCAGTTCCAGTTGCCAATCCAAATTATAGCTGGACTGTTTCCATCACTAACACTGACACCTGGCCTGCAAGCATCCTGCCTCACTTCCTGTGCTTTGCCAGATGTTGCCTCTTCCGACCTGCACACTTTCAATAGCAAAGTCACTTCCTCACTTCTCCGCTATGAGCTCATCAGTATCCTCACTGACTTCAGATATGAGCACATGGAGGGGAAAGCATGACAGTTTTGCTTGTCTGATGTCATCATTACAAACTTCAAGGCCCCTGAGGCTTAGAAGAGACTTATTTTCCTAGTTCAACACTACTTGAAGACGTTTTGGAAGTTTTCAGCCCAACATCCATACATCCAGCGTCTGATGCTTATCTGTGGTTGGGTCGCAGAGGCAGTAGATTTAGGAAGGAAACCCAGACATCCCTTTCACCAACAACACTCTCCAGATTTGCCAAGGGGATCCCAAAGCACGCCCAGACCTGAGAGGATACATAATCCCTCCAATAAGTTCTTAGTCTGCCTCAAGGTTCCCTCCCAACTGGACATGCTTAATCAGATGCCTGAATCACCTCAACTGTGTTTTTTTTTTTATATGAAGGAGAAATGTCTCTATTTTGAGGATAACATAGTTCCTCATCTCGTCAAATCTCTAGGTTGAGACCAGCAGCATATTTTCTGCTACTTGTATCCAGAATCCTGTTGTTTTGGTAACAATCCACTTCCCATGACCATAAATAAGGGTTGGAACATAGACAAAACTATTCTTTTTAGCTCAGCTCACAATGACATACCGGACCAACTCTCATTACTGCCAACAAAACCCTAGTCTGTTGATCCATCTCTCACTCAGTCCTCCCATCCCATGTGAACAAGACTTCCAAATTTTTTTAACTCCTCAGTTTGAAGTAGGGGCTCACACCAAACCTGGAGGGAGCATTCCACCTCTTTCCTGTTGAGAACCATGACCTCAGATTTAGAGAAGCTGACTCTAACCTCAGTCACTTTACATGCAGCCAAAATACCTGGTCTGGTATAAACACAAAGATGGAAACGTTTTGGGGATATCAAATTCAAATGCTGACGAGACCCAACTCAAAATGAGTAAAAAAGTATATTAAAAAATATATTTTATATTTATTTATTTATTTATTTTTTAAATCTCGAAACATTCGTATGCAAAAAAAAAAAAATTGTTAACTTTGAATGAGACTTGATTTTTAGAGCGCTAAAGTTATTTTTATGATAAATTGGTACAGCATAATAAATTCAATTGGATACAAATTACACTGATTTAATTGACAAGTACAAAACCTCATAGTGAGTCATCTGCAGTGCTGCATATTTCCATAAGCTGAATTTGTTAGTGTTGTGATCGCTTTCACTGCAGACTTTATGACTTTGGGTGGGGGATGTGAGAGCATCATTTATGAGCTTTACCACTAACATGATCCCTGCTGTATCATCTAATTTGTAACAATTTTCTCATTTTCTCTTTTGCTTATGAAACTCTAAAGCCTTGTAAAAATAATTAAAGCCACTTCTAATACTTTTTTATCTTGAGTTTTCCTTCAGGGCTTTGTAAATAACTTATCCTTAAAATAACATGGTTTTCTTCACTTGTTTGGAAAACAAGAATTTTTTTTTTTTAAACTTTCTTAGAAACTCATCACATGAGCAAAACTTCTTTCTTTATGAATATGGCCTCTAGCCTTAGCCTGGTTTTCACATCAAAGATATGGCTTTTTGGCTGCAATTCTTCCATGAAGACCACTTGTCAGCAGACTTCTTTGGGCTGTAGATGCATGTAGGGGCCACACAGGTTCCAGCCAGTTGTGAAGTGATGACACTGATGGACAAGTTCCAGTTCCAAAGAGAAAAGATTTGTCTCTCATCTGTCACACTTCACTTCCTTGACCAACCACTGTGTTTACAATCCTTAAAATTGCCAGTTAATTTGTATTTGTATTCAAAAGAGCATGACTTGTGCATTTTGAAACGGT